ATGGATTTCCTCCCCTCCTCAATGCCTTTTCCTTCTGGATCTAAAGATAGGATTTAGATTTAGTTCTCCTCCTGAATCAAAGGCCTTACATTCTGAGTATCCTTTGCTGAGTATCCTTTAAATAGTGGAATTCCCTATAGTTTTTTCTCTAGTTGATGTTCTTCAGTGAGATTGTTTTTGCAGTCAACTATTTTAAGTTGGTTACTAAGTGTCTCAACCCCAGTATTATATATCCAACAACTACAAAATTTATCTCCTTTGCTCTTTAATGGGCATCTCAAATAGCATATCCAATGTATATACATACAAACAAAGAAAACCAGGTTTTTGGTGTTTGTTTTTTCTAATTCTCACCCGAGGATACTTTTCCTTTGATTTTTAGAGAAAGTGGAAGGGAGGGGGACAGACACAGAAAGAGAAACATCAATTGGTTGCCTCCAACATGCAGCCTGCTCCTGAAGTACGTGCCCTTGACTGGAATTGAACCTGTGACCCTTCAGTTCGCAGGCCAATGCTCTATCCGCTGAGTCAAATTGGCTAAAGCAGAAAAAGAGTTTTTATCCTTCCTTCCTCGGGCAGTCAAGCATTCACTTAACAAACAACTGCTGAATCCTTTTCCAGGCCATGGGTATTCAAATAAAAATTAAGCAGAGTCTTGGACTTCAAGGGAATAAAATATTCTCTATAATTAGTTTTCATGTTTCCTGTGCTTAATATCACAATTCTGTATTCTAATAAGTTTTTGGTTATATATTTTCCCTTTCCCTAAAATGTTTACTTTCCGGATGGTAATCTCCACCTCTTTAATGCCTCACAGTTCCTGCCTATTTCTTACCATCAAGATCATTATCTTTCCTGAAGGATTCACTAGCATCCCATTATGTGACATTGCTCTGAGAGTTAATACTAAAAATCAAGGCAAGCAGGAATTTGTTCTACTAGAAACAGGCAGGCAACTGTCTTTTCTCTCTTGGGATGACCTGTCCTATTGTCTCTGGTGCCTTGCCATGACACCCATATTCTTGATGTAACATCAACACCCCACTTATCTCTGCACCTCCACCACCTTCCAGAGTGTCTATAGCATTGTAGATATGGGAGCCTGTAGATAAGCCTAATTAATTATGTCCTCGTTGGATGCCATCTCTTTCTCCATATTGGAGACTCATTATTGTATAAATGAATGCATTTAGAATAACTGTTTTGGGGACAGTCTTCAGAAATAACTATGAAAATAATTAGTTTATGCTATTCACTAATGCTTAGTGCCTCTTTCTCTTCCCTCAATACTAATTTGTGTTTACCATAAGTCACAAGAAAGGAATAGGATGATATTTAATCTTTTCCCTTAAGATACAATTTTAATAAATATCTTTTATAGTATGCTATTCAAGTAATTTTCAAGATAGCTACAATGAATTGAGCTGTGCAATAAGAAGGGAGTTCATTCCCCTGGATCTTCCACTTGACATTAGCCCAATACCAATACTGAAATGTTGGGTCATTCAGGATCAGACATTTCCTCTCCTTGGCTAATGTCTGGTCACGATCATCAAGAGTGAAAAATAGCTGACTCAAGGTGTCTTTCACAAACTCTGATAGTTTCAATTCTGTCATGTGTTTCCCTTCTCTGTATTCTTACTAAATGAGTTATCTCATTGAATATTACCCATTATTTAAAATAAATTAACAGAATGGGGAATCTAATAATGCCATTTGAAATCTAACGAAGTAGGTTCTCTGGGCCTTTTGCTCCTCTGATGTGTCAGACTGCTTTAAATAGTCTTGGTTCCTCTTGTTTTGTTTCTTTTAGGAAGCATTCCACATTTACTCAAATCCACAATGCTGTCTCATCACAGACCTTCCAAAGTATTTTAATTTAGAAGAACTCAATTTAACCTTCCAGCCAAGACTTACAATTATGATTAGGTTGTGCCTACTGTTTTTTTACATTATGATTATTTATGTTTGACTTTGTGTTGGCCTCTAGGTCATGGGCCTTTGAGGGCAACAGTCATAGGTCATGTCATTGTGGTCATGTCATAGGTGCTCAATAATTGTGTGCCTGCACTTTAAATAATTTATGGAATGACTAAGAACATTTAGAAGTGAAGACAAAATAAGTTAGTGAAATTATAAGGTTTTTATTTTGTGTTTTACATGTACATTAACACCTCATTTTTACAAGATTATAAACTGTGGGTTAGAGGGTGTTGTTTTGTGGGGGTTTTTTGTACTTTTCTTTTGCATCTCTCTTGATGTAAGATTGAGGATAGGTTAGGCGCTTCACTGAAATAAAACAAAACAGATTTTAAAAATCAAAACACTCTTATTTTGCCTTTCAGAATATGTTAGGGATACAGAACAGGATGAGATAGAGGACTCTGGCCTAATTCTAACACCATTTCATCACCCATGAGAGACAATGAGTTGTTGTTGGAAAGCAGGAGTGTTGGTATCTGTAAAACCTTTTATAACTACACATTTCAAGCTCTCATCAACTGATAAAAAACAATGGTATCCTAATAAAAACCTAATATGCAAATCTACCAAACAGCAGAACAATCGGTAGCTATGACATGCACTGACCACCAGGGCGCAGAAGCTCAATGCAGGAGCTGCTCCCTGGTGGTCAGTGCATTCTCACAGGGGGAGTGCTGCTCAGTCAGAAGCCCGGCTCATGGCTGGTGAGTGCAGTGGCATGGCAGAAGCCTCTCCCACCTCTGCTGCAGGTGGGTGGTAAGGAGAGAGGGGTCCCAGACTGCGAGAGCCCTGGACTGTGAGAGGAATATCTGACTTCTGGCTTAGGCGAACATCCCCTGAGAGGTCCTGGACTGCAAGAAGGCGTAAGCTGGGCTGAGGGACTGTCGCCCTCCCCCACCCCCCAGTGCATGAATGTCTTTGCACTGGGCCTCTAGTAAAAGATAAAGGCAAATAGTGTAAAATAGAAAAAAAACATAAATCAGAAAACTATAAGATTTTCCATTTATATTATTGACATTTATATGATTTAAAAGCTGGGAAATGTTCCTAAAAGTTATTAAATCCATTTTTTACTTAATCTATTTTTCATATTTAAAATGTGAAATCTAAGACACATCAGAAATTTTATATGCAGTAACTGATAGGTCTATGTCTAGTACTAAAAACTCCAGAAATCAGTAGCAAGCTTTAAAGAGTAATTAATATGATTATTGCCCAACAGTTTTGTGTTTGCTGTATACCAGAGGTTTTTGTGTTTGCAAATATTGATTTTTAATGAAACACCTAAATTAATTAAAACATGCACACAGTACTAAATAAGTCAGTATGGTGAAAACATTAAAAGGAGGCAGCACCGGTTAAGCACATAGTATATGTCAGACACTGTTCTCAGTGCTGATAAGATGAGCTCACAGAATTTTCGCAACAACCCTATGAGGCAGGTACCACTTTCCTTTCCCCAAGTTTTTATATGAATAAATAAGATTGGAATGAGGTGTGGCAAGAAATCATACTCAGGTAGTCTGTGCCCAGAAACAATATTTTTACCACAGTTCATGCAGAGAAACAAGCAAAAAACATCTTTGAGGGCATCTGCTATTTATTGCTCTACTGTACAGGACTGTTTGTTGGTCCAATCGTCATCTGGATGTACTTAAATTAAAATTGAGAAAAGTTGCTGGGACTTAACTTTGCACTATACCTATCAATCCAACAGATTTTATCATGCTCTGCCCCACATTATAAATCTCATCCAGCTCAATATCTCATCGGACTGACTGCAGTACCAATATGTACACTCTGTTTTAGTAAAAATACATTTTTCACATTGATTCAAATACTATGGTTCACCCTGAGAGTTTTATAGTGTGCGATGGCAAAATGGTAGATTCACTTCAGAATGAAAACTGTGACCATGACTGTCTTTATGCTATGTTCACTTCCTTGCACTTAAAATCAGAATTGCAGAACAACCAATTCTCTGCTTTGAGCAGATTTTGTACTTGAAAATCACATGTGATGTCAGTTTATATTTTATTCATCACAAATATTACCAAAATTAATTCTGGAATGCTGTTAGGTAAAAGTAGCTAAATTCAAGGCCTATTGTCTTGTAAAACTTTTTTTGCAAAACAACCATGTATTTATATTCCTTGAATTTAGCTAGTTCAGACCTTTTATTATTGTATTCTAATTCCAGTCCTTAATTCTGCACATTTCAAATGCATATTAGTAAAAGGTATAAATTCAGGGACATAATATTATTTTTCAATATCAGGGATATAATTTTATATACTACTATAAGAGTAAATTTGTGCTAAATTAACTATGTGCAGGCAACTTTGAATTGTTTTATAATTTATATGTAGGTCACTAGATTGATTCGTTAGTAGCTAATTAAATGATACCATCTAAAATGGTTTATCTTCAACTGATAGGTTCTATGTACAGATTGATTTTTCTCTGAGGAGGTTAGATTGCAGGCTCTTTATAAAAAATCACTGGGCATCTGTAAATAAATTCAATAGGTAGTAAATATCATTTTCAGTTCAACTCTCCTAGCACTACTATTAATATATGCCAAACTACTGGAAAAAAATGAGTGTTAAACTTTAGATTATTTCTTGTTTGCTTCTTTCAAATAAAAACTACTATCATTTGGAAGACATTCTTAATCTTTTAAAAAGGAAATATAAAATTCATCTATTTCTTAGTCTCCCATTTATACTACCCAAACCCCATCTAACGCCAAACAACTGTAAAATTGCCTTATGACCATCAATGACTTTTTTATAAAGTAGGATAAATTATATGCCAAGATTGCTTGAATGTATCCTACACATACAAAATCACTTTGTCCAAAATTTTTTTTTGGAATACATTGTAATTTAAGCATTTTATTTTTGTTATGTTGCAGTGATTATATTCAGAACCAAATATGAGTTATAATTAATTGATAGATATTTTTTCACAATACTTAAGTGTAAAGTACTTAAAAATCTATTTTAGGTTAGAACATACATAAACTTGATACATAGAAACATAAGAAATACAAGTAAGTCCATTTCTCAACCTGTTTCCCATTTCATAGCAAGTTTATTGTTTTATTAATCTACACCTTGAAATACATTCTATATTTTTCATAATTTAAACATAAGAGTGTGACAGATAGGGAAAAAAAGCAAGGATCTTTCATATTGTTCAGTTACAAGTAAATCCAAGCACCATGATGAGTGCTTGGCACAGAGTAGATAATAAAAAAAATATAATAATAATAACTAGTTAAATAGCCACATATATGAAGAAAGATGGGGGGAAGAAAAGAGAGAAGAGAGATTGATTGATTGATTGATTGATTGATAGATTCATGTGGGGCACTGAAATTTGAAAGCCTATTTCTAAATTCTGACTTCTTCATTTATTGATTTACTGATCGGGCCATCATTGGCAACAAGTTAGTAACTATGAGTCTCTGCTTCATTAGCTGCATAATATCAATTACTTTATCACAGACCAGTTATTAAGAATAAGGGATATTATGTCTGTGAACACCTTTGAAATTTTAATGTAAATATGAATATTATGTTTATGCACATAAGATAGGCATCTAAATAAATATTCATGCATTCACATAAAATTGCTAAGATGACATCATAGCTACTATATTCTTGACTTAACTAAAAAGTTGGCCACGGAAGTCCAGAATTTCACACTGTTAAGACAAGCACAGAATTAATGACACATCCAAATACTTCAACAGAGAAAGTACAAAAGTACAAAACTAAATGATGCCATGAATTTAATAATTAAAAGAAGCTAATGAAGGCGCTTACCTAAACAAAGTGCTAGGAGAAAATTAAGGCATACAAGAGGAAAAAATGTTATTTTGGAATAAGTGATGATATAATTTGAGGAACAATTTTTAAAATAAAATAATATATTAATCTTCAGCCTCTGGAAAATGAAGAGAACTTCAGAAGGGTTAATATATATCTTTTTATCACTGTGCACTTTTCCCACCTCTTCTTAAGACCTATAAAACCTGTCACTTAGTAACATTTAGCTTGGCGTGCCACATACAGAGAACTCGGTAATACAGAGAAAAATGCAAAAGAAGAAAATGATAATCACATATCTCAGACAAAGGACTATGTGAAGCAAGAAACACAGAAATACATTGTAGCACCAGGAATCTTTTGCCTATGGCATCCTGCACTACAAATTCTTCCCAGGGAGTGTGCAGCATGAGAAATTGCTATGATCCTATTGATGTGCTCTCTTCAAAAATATGAAATAAAAAGTGAAAACTTTGTGTCAATGAAGTCCCCCATCCAGGTAAATCACATCATGCCAATCCTGTTGTACAAAGTTTTTCAAAGGAAAACAAGGAGATAAGCAATTCTGCCACTGCAATCACTCTCAAAGCAGTGCAGTTTTATGATAATACTGAGAGAAGCATTCATACACTGCAGAAAATGCAACTTTCAATGTCTAGACTGCTCATTGCCTGAGTAAGATTTTCTTCATTGCTGACAGGATGATCTAAATAGGTTTTTACAGAATTAATTGTTTGAAAACAAATGCTTTCCCTTGGTCAAGATTGATCACCTGTGAAAATGACAGAGTCAATACCT